CAAGTGAGTCCTCTACCCAGTTACAGATTCTATTTCCTCCCTCTGTAAAGCAAAGCAAAGGCATTATGTACAACTCATTACCACAAGGCCTGGAGACCAGCGTCGGAGGGTGAGATTGGATAAACTTTCAACTTCTCTCTCCCTCTAACTTGGGCAAAGCCTTAAACAGGTTACCCTAATTGCACCCAAAAAAAAAAAAAAAAAAAAAAAGCTATGTAGACCAGGTTAGACTTGTACTCCTATCTCTGTTTTTCAAATGCTGGGACTAAAAAACATGCACCACCATACCTTGTCACACATACCCCTTTTAAACATTGTTTTAGTTTGTTTGTTTTGCTCTTTGAGACAGGATCTCACTGTGTAGCCTTAGCTTGCCTGGAACTCACTACATACACCAGGCTGGGCTCAAACTCATAGAGATACATTAAAATTAAGGGCATATGCCACCGTGCCTGATTCTATGTAAAAAATTTTTTAAAAATGTATTTTGTGTGCTGTGTGTGTGTGTGCGCGTGTGCCAAGGTGTAAGGGTGGAAGTCTGTACTCTGTACAATCTCAGGGCTCAGTCTCGCCTTCCATTGTGTGGGGTCAAACCCAAGTTGTCAGGCTTGGCAGCAGGGAACTTTACCCACTGTGCCAGCTTACCCGCCCACATAATACCCTGTGACACAAGGAATCTTCCTCAAGTGTACAAAAACTATGCAAAAGGGTTCATGGTTCATTCACACAATGAATCGATAATACATTCATTAATGAAATGATGATACATTCACATAATGAAATTTCATGTAGTCATCAAAGAGAAAAAAAAAATCATAGGTGCTAGCAATGAATCATGTCCAAGATAAAAATGAGAAAAGCAAAACTGAGCAGGACACCTTATATAAGCCTGTGTGTGGTTGGGCAGACACAGCTTTTTATCACCCGTATGCAAAGAAAAACACATGGAAGGATAAATTCAAAACTTGTTCATAACGGTAGCTAAAAAGTTTAGATTATGCTGTTTCTTTATTTTCTTCCTTCCTTCCTTTCTTTTTTTCCCAGATAGGTTTTCTCTATGTTGTCCTGGCTGTCCTGGAATTCCCTCTGTAGATCAGGCTGGCCTCAAACTTGGAGATCCACCTGCCTCTGCCTGTCAAGTCCTAGAATTAAAGGAACTCAACACTATGCCCAGCATTTCCTAAATTTAGATTCCTTTCACACTAAAGATCTATTTGTCATGGGGCATGGTCAGTAAAAAATTTATATTATATATATATATATATATGTATATATATATTATATAAAATTTTTTTTTTCAAGACAGGGTTTCTCTGTATTGAACTCACAGAGATTCACCTGCCTCTGCCTCCCAAGTGCTGGGACTAAAAGCATGCACCACCAATGCCAGGCAAAATTTTATATATACATTTTTTTCTTACTTTATTCCTGTGTGTATGTTTGTACTGCGTGGGTCCCTGGTGCTATGGTAATGGAGTTAGGGATACTTGTGAGCTACCATGTGTTAGGTGGGAATTGAACCCAGGACCTCTGGAGAACAGCCAGTTATCCTAATGACTGAGCCAGTTTTCCAGCTCCCTCATCCCAGAAAGGTTTTTTGTTTGTTTGTTTGTTTGTTTGAGACAAGTTCCATTATGTAGCCCTGGACCGCCTGAAACTCCCTTTGTAGAACAGTTTGACCAGGAACTCACAGGGTCTTCCTGCCTGTCTCCCAAGATCTGGCCAGTGACAGTTTTTAACATTTTTAGAAGAATGTAACTAAGTGGTAGAATGTGTGCTTAGCTTATAGGGGTCCTCAAACCCAAACCCAGTACAAAATTAAGTATTTGTATTAAGATGGGCTTGCACCTGCAGCGTAGTTTGGCATAGAACTCTGCAATCTTCCTGCCTCTCCGGAGTACTGAGGTCACAGGCTTGACCTTAATCATTCATTCATTTTTGGTTTTTCGAGACATGGTTTCTCTTTAGCTTTGGAGCCTGTCCTGGAAATCTCTCTGTAGACCAGGCTGGCCTCCAACTCACAAAGATCTGTCTGCCTCTACCTCCCCAGTGCTTATATTAAAGGCATGCACCACCACCACCCAGGTATTTTTTTTTTTTTTAAGAAAAATATGTTTTTTTCTTCTGGAGGGGAGGAGGAGAAGAAACGATTAATGCTACATAGCATGAAGGGAGGATTCAGACTTTTTGGCCAGATTTGAAGCCGATCTCTGTTAGGTTAGGAGATAAGACCTTCCACTCCCCAGGAGGGGAGTGAGGAGAAGCGGAAAGCCGGACTTTAATCAAGGAGAGGGAAGGGGAGAAATGGAGTGTAAAGCTCATTGATGGCAACTTGTTCGCCTGGGAGCAAGGATCTGAATGTAGCTGTGTGTCCTTGGGCAAATCCCTGCCCGCTCTGATCTTTAGGGGCTTTCTCCCTCCCTTCTGCTGTCTCTCTTTGCATTGAGCACATATGCAAAACCAAAGGACTAAGAGGTCAGTGAAATGGAGCCCACTACAGTCTCTGCCCCCAGAAAGAGAGGCTCTAAGGAGGGAAGGCATGCAAGGAGAAATGCCCTCCCTTTAGATTGTGCATTCAGACTTGTGCAAGCAAAGAGGGTGGCCAGTGGGAAGAAGGGCTGAGTCAGAAGGGGGCCTGACTGTGGACCTACAGGGCTCCTCCAGCTTCCCGTTACAGATGTCCAGCTACCACTCCCGCTCCAGGGACCCTCTCCTCAGTGAGAGAAAAGTATACTTATCAGGACAAAGGAAATACAACCTGCCTCTTCTCCTTGCCCACTCCAGTGGCCCAGTGTTAGAAATTCGGGACCCCCAGGCAGGGCTGCCGAGGGGAGGTCCTGTCTCCCTGTCTAGAAGACAGGAAGGCAATCCTCCTGTGCAGATCTCTGGTCCTACTGATGGGTCAAGGCAGGATTATTCTGAAGTCCCAATCCTCCACACCCTGACTACACAGCGCGGCTTTTTACTAAGAATTCCCCAAGGCTCCCTTCTCTCCACCACTGTCAAAGCAATTGGCTTTGGACCCTGTCCTGGAACTCACTCTGTAGACCAGGCTGGCCTTGAACTCACAGAGATCTGCCTGCCTCTGCCTCCTGAGTGCTGGGACTAAAGGCATGCTCCACCAACGCCCGGCAGCAATTGGCTTTTCTATCTCTCATCTGCCACTCTTCACCTCCCTTCCTCTACCACTGACAGCTGAACAGTCAAGTCCAAGGGGTTTGGGACCTGGAATAGTTGCAGACCTCCTGTGGACCATGATCCCTGACCTGCTCCACAGCTAGGACATAAGTGAGAAGCCTCTAGTTTTGTTTGTTTTTTTCTGAGACAGGATTTCTCAATAACTATGGAGCCATTCCTGGAACTCACTCTGTGGACTAGGCTGGCCTCTTCCTCACAAAGTGCAGGATTATAGGAGTGTGTCATCCTTCTAGTTCTAAATAGGTAAGAAGGATCAGTGTCCTGATGAGTCTGAATCAAGAGCTGGTAGCATAGGAGCCCCTTGGAGAGACAGAGCAGGGAATATCCCTGTACATCTTTCCCCAGACCTGAAGACCTTAATCCTAGAGGTGACTAGATATAAAAACAAAGCCAAACCAAACCAAAAAAAAAAAAAAAAAAAAAAAAAAGTCATTGAAGATTTTAAGACAAAAGCAGAATTGGGTTAGGGAAAAAGATCTCCCAGGGCAAGCGTCCTTCTGGCCATGTCCTTCCCAGCCAGGGACTGTCCCTAAACTGCAGGATTCTGGTCCAAAGGACCAAAAGCCATCAGTCAGGTGTGTCAGAGAGGTCAGGTAGTACATGTTCCTGGCGGAACCAGCCCAGCAGCTCTGTCAAGCAGTCCCTAGCATTGACGCACACTTGGGCACCCTTCCGGATCAATGCACACTCACCCCCACCCCTATCCCATCTGAGCTTCAAGGGGGTTGGAGGACTCAGCAGCAACCTTCAGCTTTTGGAAAAGAAGCCTCCCCCCCCCCCAGAGCTGCTGAGAGCCCCCCACCTCCACCCCCAATCAGATCCAGGGCAGGATTGTTAATCAGTTCTAAGGACCCTATGTTTGCACCAAAGCTGTGGGTGAGACTGGGGGCGGGAAAAGATTGTCCTTGGCTTCAAGACTCCTACCCAGCAAGATTAGGAGAATCGCATTGTTCAGCTCAGACACAGCTGGCCTTCCTGCAGGGGGCGGGGCCCCTAGAAGCCAAGCAGAAACTCCCAACCTGGCAATGTTAACGTGTTATCTTACCACGTATTGTGTGGGTGGCAGGTCTCATGTCACCCGTACCCAGGCTTGACTTGGATTCTTGACCCTCCTGCCTCTACCCACCCCCCTGCATGCTGCTGCTGCAGTAGACTGCAGGAATGCATTGAACCACCTCAGCTTGTTCTATTAACATTTGTAGATGGTGGTTCCCCAGGCTTGTCTCACAGGTTGGGAGTGGGGTAGGTTATGACTGCTGTCCCCTCTGGGGAGAAGCTGTTCCCATAGCTGAAGACTCAGGCTTAGTCACTAGGCCAACCTAGGTCTCCCCAGCACCAGCAGCTGCTGCCAGAGCTTCAGTCAGCAGACTGAGCTCTTAGAGGTGGCATAAGGCCAGGAGTCACTTTCCATGCTTACCACATCCTCCAAAGGGGGATGGAAATTCGACCAACTTGAGTTACTAAGCAGAAAGACTCAAGGGCTTGGGTACTGACAGACCTGAGGGCAGCTGGACTTTGCCATAGGTAGACCTAAGAGCCAGCAGCTGGTCTCAGGAGCAAGGGCCAGAGGAGATAAGAAGTCAGAGAGACTAGATCAGGCAGGCAACAACAGCTTCAGGGGGTTTCAATTCCCTCCAGAATTTGTTCAGCCTATCCCACAAGTACACAATCTAATTTGTCAGTGTTTGTTCTGTTCACTCAGGAGAAGCATTCCTGACCCCCCCCCCCATTTCCCCTCCAAGCAACATCAACTCTCCATAGGGCTAGATAAGGGGAGAAGAAATTGCCAGATCAAAACAAGAGCTAGAATCATCGAGCTTTAATAACTTACAGGCGAGTGCTAAAAAACAGTAATAACAGAGGACACACAAGGCTTATAAAAAGGCCTGGACATTTACAAGCATGGGGAGGATTCTTGGCACTTTCACAGACACAAAAAGATTGTGACTAGAAAAGCAGCTGAGGAGACCCCCACCCCAACTATGGGGTGGAGGGAAGATGTTCTCCGTTCATCCCAAATGCATTCTCTGGGAAACTTTCTGCACACCCTCCCCTTGCAAAAACAAACACAAACAAACAAACAAATCCAAATAAAACGCTAGGGAAAGAAACGGTCGAGGTAGAGTCAGTGTTTACATTTACATCTCAGGTCTCAGCCCCCACCCTCTAGAGGTGAAGAGCAGAGAAGACACTTCATCTCCCCTCCCCCATGTGGCACCAAAACTGGACTCCCCCATGCTCCTTCAGTCCTTTTGAGGTGGACAGGTCCAGCACCCAGGCTGGCTGAGAGGTCACAGGCCCCGCGGGACTATCCTAAGTACTGACCCCTAGTAGGTAAGGTAGGGGCAGCCTCGCGTCACCGTCTCTTCTTGCTTGCCCGAGGTGCCTTCTTCCTCTTCAGAATCATCTCATACAGGCGCTCCAGTCCTGGCTGCAGGCCCAGCCCGTCCACGGCACTGCAGCCTTGTACATGGGTGAGTGTGGCAGCTGCCAGCTCCCGGACTGCCAGCCTCTTCTCCACCTCGGCTGCACTCAGTGCCCCCGGCTGGTCCTGCTTGTTGGCCAGCACCAGCACGGGCACCCCCTGGTTGTCTGCAGCCTTGCTGATTCGGTGTAGCTCCACCTTGGCCTCCTCTAACCTTTCAATCTCTGCCGAGTCCACTACAAACACCAGCCCATCTGTCCGGCGGGTGTAGGAGCGCCACAGTGGCCTCAGCTTCTCCTGACCCCCAACGTCCCACACTTGGAAAGTGATTCCACGGGACCCCCCCAAGGGCACTCGGATCTTCTCAGTGTTGAAGCCCTTGGTGGGGACACTCTGGACAAACTCCTTGAACTTGAGGCGGTAAAGAAGGGACGTTTTCCCAGCTGAGTCCAGCCCAATGACCACAACATGCAGGGCCTGGAAGTGAGGCAAAAAGGATGAGGCTGTGGGTGCCATGTCAGTCAAGTGATTCCCCATGGTGACCTACGGAGCAGAGCTGGGGCTCCGGTAGAGGCCAGGAGGAGGGGAGGCCTTGAAATGGCAGGTAGCACAAACTGGGTTATCTAAACAAGGAAAAGTCAAGGGAGAGAGAAAAAGAAAGGTTTAGAATAAACACGAACTCGCAATCTCTGGATCCTTTCCTAAATCAACATCTAAAAATTCCTTTTATTAAAATGGATTTTTACGTGCCTCTTTTTTCACAATTAAAAAAAAATTATTTTGAGCATGTATACGCTACACACAGCTTGAGTGTGGGAGTCAGGACAACTTGCACCAGTATGTGGGTCTCAGGGATCTAATAGGATCCTCAGGCTTTGGGGCAGGCGCTTTTAACCGATAAACCATCTCACGTGCCTTCCCTATTCCCCCTTTAAAAAAAAAAAAAAAAAAAAAAAAGGGCCACAGGTGTAACATAGGCCACAGGCATTCTACTGCCCTAGGAGAGGCCCCAGGCCAAAGAAATCCTTAGGTGCTAGAATCCTCGAGGGTAGGACCCTGCGGGCTCGATCCCATGCCAGGTCGTTTTGCTGCGCCCCTCTCCCAGCTTGAGGAGTGGAAGCAGACGCTATGACCTCCATTCCCCGAGAGGAGAATCCTTGCAGGACGAGGCAGCCGGGCAGTGTGCCCGAAGTAAGAGCCCCGATCCGGGTCCGGTTCCCGGTTCCCACACGTCCTCGGCATACCCACACCGTTGACGTGCCCTCGGGGGCTGTGACCGCCATTCCAACTGTCCTGCGACAGTCCTGCCTGCCGCCAGCGGTCCTCCCAAGCCTCAGAAGCTGGCGGCTCTGCACCGCCCGGACACCCCCCCTTTACCTTTAGTGAGCCGCACTCCCCACCAGCAACGACTAGACAACCGAGCGCTGCGCGTTTCAGCCACTGTGGACTTGGCGGCGCCGCTGGTCAGGTTGAGCATTAAAAAAAACCCTGTCTTGACGTCACACGACGCGGACCAATCAGCGTCCCCTAGGCGGAGCACGGAAGCGGGCCTCTGCAGCCCCATCCTGGGGAGGGACGCTCGCTCTACCCGGAACCGCTTTATTTAATCTTTTTCTACCTTATTCCAGTATTTGGAATAGAGCCTAGAATTCATCAGGGCTGATAGGGGAGAAGGACCGAGGGAGCAGGCGTGGCCGCGTCTGACGACAGCAGGGAGAGGAACGGCTTAACACTGACACCACCCATCCCTTTCCCGCAGACAGAGCTGCTGGCCCCACCAGTCAGCTCCCTCTACAGAAGAGTGTGCTCCAGGAGATGCTGACAAGTTCCGTATCTTTTCTCAGTCGTCTTCTAGCATTCTTTGTCCAGTTTTCAACAGTGTTTACCTGGAACCCCCATACAGCTGATTTCATAGTACTAAGCCTGTTACTGAGACAGTAGCTCATTGGATCTGAACTTACTTTGTAGTTGAGGATGACCTCAAACTCTTGAGCCTCCTACCTCCACCTCCCAAGTGCTAGAATTGCAGGCACCCCCCCACACACACACACACTCCCCACCCCCGAGACAGGGCTTCTCTGTGTCACTCAGACTGTCCTGGAACTTGCTCTGTAGTCCAGACTGGCCTCAAACTCATAAAACCGCCTACTTTTGCCTTGGAATGCTGAGAGACACAGGCCACCATCCCAAACTGCTCTGTTTTGTTTATTCTTGTCTTTTGGTTGGTTTTATTTTGTTTTGTTCTGCTTTGCTTTTCTGAAATGGGATCTCACTGTGTAGTCCAGGCTGGCAATCTGTGTGCCTCAGCTTCCTGAGTGCTGAGACAGCTGGCCCCATTATCTCTACTGATTCTCACAATAGCCTGTTAGGGACTGTTGTATGTACCTTACAGCTACAGAGAGCTCCAAAGGGTTAAAGGACTTGTCCACAATCACATGTAGGTAGTATGTGGCTGAGCAAGATCTGTCTGAATTCAGTGCCTGGACACCCACCACTTGGCTATACATCTTGTCACGGGCAAGCCATGGGTCTAGTCAGCTTGAGTGGAAATTCCTCCACCAAGGCTGCTCAGACCAACAGCAGAGCTCCAAAGGCCTATCTTGTTGAAAAAGACTTTAAAAGGCTGGGCATAGTGACAGAGGCAGGGGAATTGCTTAAGTCAAGGATAGCCAGCATTACACAGCTGAAATAAACTTTCAAATAAACTTTCAAAGACTAAGTTCAAAGCCAGGCGGTGGTGGTGCACACCTTTAATGCCAGCACTTGGGAGGCAGAGGCAAGTAGATAGATCCCTGAGTCCAAGGCCAGTCTGGTCTGCAGAGAGAGTTCCAGGACAGCCAGGGCTACTCATCAAAACCTTGTCTCAAAACACAAAATAAATAAATAAATGAAAGTTCAGCTGGTCATAACCACTACAGTCTTTAATTAATCCCTTGCACCCTGGAGGCTGAGACAGCAGTATGGTAAATTCAGAACCTCTCTAAGCTGTATAGTGAGTTCAAGTCCAGCTCGGGCACCTTAACATGAACCTATTTCAAAAATACTGATGGCCCAGGCATGCAGGGGCATGGTAGAGTGTTTGCCTAGTGTGCACAGACTAGGTTCTATCCCTAGTACTGTACTCTGGTGAGTTAGTAAAGAGAAAACAAAGCTCCAGTTGACCTCACACTGGGCCTCTGCATGAGTTCTAGGACTACAGATGCCTCAAAGTTCTTACTCAGTAAAGAGTGACAGGTAGCTGGGCATTGGTGGTGCACACCTTTAATCCCAGCATACAGGAGGCAGAGGCAGGCAGATCTCTGTGAGTTCGAAGCCAGCCTGTTCTACAGAGCTAGTCTAGAACAGGTTCCAAAGCAATACAGAGAAACCCTGTCTAGAAAAACTAAAGAGTGACAGGCAGCTGCAGTTCAGGAAAACACATGTTGAGTTTTCACAGATCATCCAATAGGAGCCTGTTGGATTTTAGAGGAGGGAAAGAACGCCTCAGCTAGAAGCTTCTGGAAAGGCTTCTAGAGACCTAGGACCTGGGTGGGGGCATCATCCTTAGCGACTGCAAGTTCTGGTTTCCCTGAAGGGGAGGAGATGTCACAAAGGGCAATGTGACCAAAAGGACAACAGGATTACCCTTATTAAAAGCTAAAGTGCAAAGAGGATTGGAAAGGGAGGAGGGGAAGTTATTGCCAGACTGCAAGGGTCCAGCCCTTTCCTGCCCCGCCACCTCCAACCAAGTGCCGATGAAAAGGGTTCCATGAGTTTAGCACCAGCATGTCTTGCCACCTCTGTCCCCTCCCTACCACAAAACTAGCCACCTGGCTTGTTCGGCAGTTCAGGAAGCCTCCAAATCCTTACAGTCCTTCAGAAATTAGTCTAGGACCGAGACCTTAGAAAAGAACTTTTTTACCTCCCTCAAATGGAGATGATGGGACAGACTGGAGTGGCAGCTGAAACTGAGAGGCAGGGATGAGCTAGGCCAAGGGCACAGGGGACAAACATCACCCTACAGAGTGGCACTGCATGCCTAAGAGTTTAACACAATTTTCTTTTTGAAAATCGTAAGTGAATCAGGCACAGTGGTACTTCCCTGGGATCCCAGCCCTGGGAGGCAACAAGTCCCAGGTGAGCCTCGTCCAGTGTTACAGAGCAAGATTCTTTCAAAACACAAAAGACCAAGTTGGGTGTGGTGGTCCACACCTCTAATCTCTGCACTTGAGAGATGGAGGCAGAAGGATCAGTTGTGTAAGGTTATCCTCTGTTATGTAGCAAGTTTGAGATCAACCTGGGCTAGAAGACCATGTCTCAAAAACAAACAAGCAAACAAACAAAAACCACTAATAACACAATGGGAGGAAGGAAAGGGAGAGAGAGAAGAGAGACTCTAAAGCAAGGCAGTGAGTATCCCTGAGACTTTAATTACCAACCAGGATTGGGGTATGTTTTCTTTTAAAATCCCTGAAGCATAAAAAGACTACATGACTCATCCAAGGTCACCCACCTCCCCAGGAATTGAGCAAACAATTCTAGCTTTGAACAAAGGCCATAATGACTGTGAAACCGAACACACACAAGTTGTCATGTGCCTGCCATCTTTCTAACACCTCCCCCCCATCATGGGATTCACACCCAAGATGGAAACTGTCACATATCTGATAAAGAAAAGGAAACTGACACCATCACTCCACCCTTTATCTTTCTTGTTTGCCAGGAAGGTGTGGATGGACAAATGGGAGAGAGGAGGTGAGACTGGGAAGATACACAGGAAGGAGGGCCCCCCCCATTTTTGATGGGTTGTTTGTTTTTGTTTGAGGGTGATGGCTTTGCTCAGCGAGGCCTTTTCCTTTTTTAAAGTGCGTTTGAAACAAGAGTTAAGTGACCAGCGTTACAGAAGTGTTACAGACAGATGAGCTGGGAGCCACTGCTCCCTTTTTTGCCTTCTCACCTGGATCAGAGTCCAGCTGTTTACTCAGACTTTGAATCCCGGACGGTAGAAGCTTGCTCTTCTTATCTGCAGCTACACTGACCACACACTGTGTGTGGCATCTGCTAAGCCAGAAATTCTGTAAGATGGAATGATTATACCTAGGACAGTCCCTCTTCAGGGAGCCACGCCTTTAAATGTTTAGCTTGTGAGATTGGTCCTTGAGTCCAGTTTCTGTTAGTAATGTCTGACAAGACTGGACTTGAAACTCTGCATTTCAAAGGGTCAAAAGTTAAAAATTATCTCTCTCTCTCCCTCCCTCTCCCATTCTTTCTGTTTTTCGAGACAGGGTTTCTTTGTATTGCTTTGGAGCCTGTCCTGAAAATTGCTCTGTAAACCAGGCTGGCCTTCAATTCACAGAGATCCACCTGTCTCTGCCTCCAGAATGCTCGGATTAAAGGTGAGCACTACCAACGTTGGGCTTTCAAAATTATCTTTAGCTTCAAACTAGGGTTGAGGCCAGTCTGGGCTACATGAGGTCCTGCCTAAAATGTTGGGGAGGGACCAGTGTCATGGCTTAGCTAGTAAAGGCCCTGGCCCCACAAGCCTGACAACCTTAATCCCCAGAACCCACATAAAAGTAGGAGAGAACAGACTCTGCAAACTTCTGACCTCCACAGGCACTGTTGAACACACACTCACACAGCAATGTACACACACATAAAACAAACTATAAAAGAAAATAAGTAGGGCTGAAGAAGCTGGCTCAGTGGTCAAGAGTACCTGATGCTCTTGCAAAGAACCATGTTCAGTTCCCAGCACCTACATGGTGGCTCAAAGCCCTGTGTTAACTCCAGTTCCAGAGAATCTGAGATGCCCTCTTCTGATCTCCTTGGGCACCAGGCTCACAAAAGGTGCAAAGACATACATTCAAAGAAAACACTCAAAGGTATAAAATAAATAGATCTTTATAAAGATGAGTAAAATATTGGGAGAGTTCCAAATCTCTTGGCTATTTAACAGTTTCATGTATGTAGACTTGTTAATATTTGTTTTTATCTTATGGGTATGGATGTTTTGTCTGCATGCATGTTTGTGTTACATGTGCATGCCTGATTGCCCTTAGAGGCTAGAACAGACCATTTGACCAATGGAATTGGAGATTGGGATGGTTGTGGGCGCTGAGAATTGAACCTGAACCCTCTGGAAGGGCAGCCAGTGCTCATCAGTTAAGCAATCCCTCCAGCCCCATGTGTGAATTTCTGGGGGAGAAAAATAGAGGCCAGGAATAGGATACACCTTATACATTCTTAGTATCCCCAATCCTGATATGCTAAAACCTTAGACTTCAAAGTAAGTAAGTGTGCATTCAGTCCCTTGATAATACACTGGTCCACCCCCACGGGACCCACACCAGGGCCAGCCCCAATTACCACACACCGAGACTCGGTATTTGATATAATTCTGTTGGCCAGTTACTTGTTTCTTATCGGCTAGCTCTGTCT